TCCTCACAGACAACTCAACCACTCACCCACCTGCCTACAGAACCAGCTACTCCATAGTCTCCTCTACGCCATCATTACCAGCCAGCCAGTCAGCCATCCACCTTTCCCAAACCCTGCAATAAAACCTCAAATCCTTCAACTTTGCTGCCGTGTCTGCTTTTGGGTCTGGATACAAACTGTAACATTTTCCACTTATACACATTCCTGGTGTATGGTATATATTCTTACTGAAAAGGCAGCATAAGAAGGAGCAATATGTAACTCTGACACCTACTCACTCTATCCAGGATTACGCAGACTTTTTGGGGGATTGTTGCGGCCTAAAATGTCTAATTTTGCGGCAACTTTTCAAGAAAGTTTTCATGTTTTTAGACGTTTTTTTGCAATTAAATTGCGGCAGCAAACGAAAACTGCGACACTAGTTGCGATTTTAAGTCTCGATTGTAAAAATCGAGACTTTTAATATTTAGCTATTTTCTTACACACTTCGATGTGATTGAGTGATGTCTTGATTTTTAACCTGAGCAGAGCCATTAGCTTTGGGAAGTTACCTATTCCTCTGCCTCACTCAATGATGTCTCTCTCTCTCTCTCTCTCACGCACACACTCACACTCTGACAAAGGTCTGTAAATAAAACTGTTAAAATAGGTGTCCTCACTCAAAAATATCAGAAAATTGAGTCAGCCAGACACCCCCTGTAATTAAGGTTAGACTGAAATATTGATTTTGACAGCAATAAATCAATTTTTTTATCATTTGGGTACTGGTAGGTTTCCCCTTTTTTTTAAAGGGGACATGTTATGAAAAATCCTTTTACAGTGTTTCTGAACTTATATCTGGGTAACCTGAGTGTCTACCGACCCACAAAATGTGAAATAAACACATCCAGTCCATCCAGTCCTCATTGCATTTAAAGAGACACACACCAAAATGGAGCGTTCTGAGAGAGCTGGTTTATACAGGGTCACAAACCTCCTCTGGTGCTTGATTAATGTTATTTTTTGACCAAAGCCCAGCACAGATGTTTCATTTAGACCACAGGGGACTGTTTAAAAAGGTGGAGAAGGGGGAGAATATGTCCTCTTTAAGAGTAAACAAACATGACCGGTACATCCATTACGGTGAACATTTTGTCAGCTAGATTGTGGTTTGTTTTACAAACACTTTGAATAAACACTCTTGTTGTTGCCACAAATTTTTGACATCCATCTAACTTTCAGATTGGCTGTTGTTCCGTTCCACATGAAAATCCACAGAGTCTGTGCTCGGCCGCCCGTGGCGATCTCCCCACACAACAGGATTTCTGATTGTAAATATTGAACTTGTTTAATATTTACGATTTGAAATCGGGGCGTGCATGATCGTCTCCCGAGAAGATCAGGGAGGTTAGAATCACTCTTAACACACCTCACACCACAGGAGAATCTGGCAAGATATGCAGATCTTCGCTGACTTTGGCTGGAAGTGGGGAATCGGGCCAAAAACCAGCCGAATTATCTTGTAGTGTACATTTAGCTTAAGCTTTCCTTTTGCAGACGAAAAACTGTTCTGCTCCCCACTCTCACCAGCCCCCTCCATCTGACCCCTACAGTATACTGCTGTAGGCTAGATTAAGGGAACAGTTCACTCTTTATTACAACTACAAATACAACTGGATGTTGAATGTTTGTCTCCAAATAATGACTCTGAATAATATTTAAACGCTGTTGTCCTTAATTTGATAATGAATTTCATTTATCTAGAAAACTTAACAAACATGCTGTCATTAGTGTCGTAGTACTTGAAATCAGTCTTGGTCTCAAGACCACTTTTTGAAGGTCTCATCTTTGAATTAAAGCCATTTTTACTCGGTCTTGCCCTGGTCTCAGACCGGGCAGACTCCGGATTCTGAATCAAGACCGGTCAAGACCTCCACTGATTGGACATTTTTCCAAGTCATCACTGAGTTTAGAAGGAAATCGCCACTAGCAAAAGAACAAATAACTTTAATTAATTCATAGTTTGATTTTTGTCCCCTGGTTACGACCACAACCTTCCCGTAGTTAGGGACTAAATGAGGGACAATGAGTGATGATTTTTCATTGATATTTATGGTCTTGGTCTGCTGTCTCGCCCTGCCTTGGTCTTGTCTCAGTCTCAGAGCACTCTGGTCTCGGTTAGTGTGGTCTTGACTTCAACACTACCTGTTATACGAATATGACTGGCTTCGTTGAAAGTATTTAATTAAGATACTTACAGGAATCATTTCAGATATGAGGAAATGAATCGATGAAAGCATTTGACCTCAGGTGTTTTTTCCTAAACCACACCCAGCTCAGAAGTTTCAGTATCAAGTGTGCACAAAGGTTCTGTTTCTAAAGGAGTTAGACTTAACACCTAAGAAATAAAAGTGACCAAAAATATGTTTAAGGTCTTAATTAATATACGGCAATAAAAAAAAATTAAGAGCTCAGGTAAAAAAATGTCAATAAAAACCTTGAAAAAGTTTTTTTCTGTAGTCCTCGCCACAGCGGCCAGGGTGCTCGAACCTGACCGGCCCTTTGTTGCATATCATCCCCACTCTCTCCTCCCAGCATGTCCTGTCTCTGATCAGCTGCCTGATCTAATAAAGGCAAAAAGACAGAGTCTCTTTAAATTACATTCAAAAACAAAATGCCTGAAATATTCTCTCTGTCTCATTAACATATTGAAACAGTTATTCATTCTTTAAATATGAAGCCTCACCCATAATCACGTGATCATTATGAATATTTCAGATTCTGCTCCTGTTTTTAATTGTCCTTTCTCATCTCGGTGTGATGTCGCAGCAGAACTCTCAGCAGGTGAGTACAAAACTACAGAAATAAATCAGATTAATGCATTTGTAAAAACTACATAGAACTTGTACTTTCACTCTTTGAGACTGACAGAGTTAAGTTGTTAAAGATTATTTAGTTTAGAGTTTGCTCCTCAGAACAGATTTACAGCTTTAACAGAAACCGATCTGGGAACAGATTTCTGTTCAAACAGTATACAGACACACAGAAATATAATCTAACAGGATGTTAAGTGGTTAAGTCAGCACATTTGTTCAACTAATCATTTCTGAGAGAATCTGTTGAAATAATCTCAACAGGAGATGAGGGAAGCTATCTTTTAAATCACATCTTAAAACTGTGATTTCTCCTTTTAAAGACTTTTACTAATCTATCCATTCCTAATCCTTTAATGTTTGACTCTCCTATCCTCTGCTGTGTTTTTATTTTTAACAGCTTTCTTTGATTTGGCTCCTTTTTATCTTAATTTCTGTTTTTATTACCTGTGATGTGATGTCGTCTTTTTTACCGTATGTCATCGCCATTAGCTTGTTGACTTTTTGTTTTTATTTGTCTTTAACTGTTTTGGTTTATAGCCTTCAAGGCAGGGTTGGTAATTTCCAAAAATAGCATTATTTTGAAAGTAGCATTCCTTCCGTTCTCCCTCAAAAGCCACGCCCCTCACTTACCTGCATGAGCGCTGCATTGTGTCGTCTCATTCAGCGGTATGTAAATACTTTTAATATAATACATGTTAAAAAAACTGAATATTTTACTACTCACACTGGCCAATGGCCGGTTTTACAGGCTTACAAGTGCTACAGATGATGGATTTTCTTTGTTCTTTATTTCGGAGCGCCTGAGTTATTCATTTCTGTCAGGACCTGAAGACAATGTCAACCAAACTCTTATTAAGTGGATCTGGTGGAAATGACCAACCAGTGGTGTAGTGGTGCATGAAGAAGTGGCCCGTCCAGCAGAGGTTAAATGGCTTCTTTTATAAACAGTGACATGTAAGATATGTTTAGTTCACATAATAAAATGGGCCTTTTGTAATTTACACATCCACACTCAACTTCCACTGCTTGACTTAAAGGCACAGTTTGTATATTCTGCCATCAGGAGCTCTCAATCAATACAACAATAACAAAAGAGAACGTCGAGGTTGACGGGGAAACATGGGAGTCCCCGGTCAGAAAACTCCGTGGTGAAATTGAACGAGTGAAACCAACCTAAGAAAGAGAATATGTTTACTGACGAGCTAATAATAATAATCATTTATCCTTTATTAATCCCGCGAGGGGAATTCAGTTTTACACTCTGTTTAATGAACATGCTACACAAACATATGCCGGAATACACACACATGCACAAACAGGATCCAATGGACATGCATTAACGGAGAGGTCTCAGAGTGAGGGGGCTGCCCACAGCGAGCACTGCAGAGCAGTTTTGGGGTTCGGTGTCTTGCTCAAGGGCACCTCAGCAGTGCTCAGGAATTGAACTGGAACCTCTTCAGCTACCAGACCAATTTCCAAATAATGTATCCGAGTATAATTTACATGATGATTTTATCACAGCAGCACATGCAGCAACAGTACGGCAGCTTTCTGTAGCAGCTCACGCTTCTTTATGCAGCGGTCTTTCATGTAACATCTGGTGTTTCTACGGCAACGATACACACTCTGTCATTGCGGATCATCATGGCAGCCGCCTCCAAAAGACAAGTCCTGTTACAACTATACATTTTAAGATAAGATATACGTTTTTAAAAGTGCTATATAAATAAAGTTATTATTATTAGGACTTAAACAGTTTTATCAACATAAAGTGAAGCCAACAGTTCAGATTTAGATGATTAAACAGAAGTAGAAACGGAAGTTATGTAACTCTTATTAATGTAACAATGGTGTCAGCTCCTCTCTAAGCTTCATTCATTTATATTAACTATTTTTGTGTCATGTTCACTTTTAACTACATGATATATATAACAGGTCTATGATCAGAAGTTAAAAGAACAAGTTAGTCAACTTGATCCACACCCAGCTCCACGCAGAGGCACACATTGTCACAGGTTTAGTAACTGAACTGATAAGAAACATTCTCTCTTTATTGCAAATAATTTTGTTTTGATTGTTCTGCCTTTTTTTAATAGATTTTCTGTCTCAAGTGAAGTTTCCTGTGATGATTCTAACACACGCATCATGGCAACGGCAGAATCAGGTGAGTTCAGTCCGACTTTGCACGAATGAGGAAAAAGAAAAATGTGTTTTTAAGGTTTAAATTTGAGTTTCATTTAACTGCTTGGGATGGCTCGTTCCTCTCAGCTGTCTAATAATAGTTCCAGGAAGTCTTGACATTTAATAATTGATGTCTTCCAGTTAGTGATTGGCTGATTGCCAGGAGGAGCCATTGAAGTAAAAATATAGCTCACATCTGATGGACATCACTAAAATATATAAACTTGAATTTATTTACTTTAAATATTTATGTATTTCTAAGTTTAAGTAGATGATTGTGATTACTGTTCAATATTTAAACACTTAAAAACCAAAAGCCAAGATGGAGACTAAACATTATTGAATATTAAAAAGGCAGAATTTTTTTTAATTCTTCTTAAATTAAATTGGGGGACGGCTGTGGCTCAGTTGGTAGAGTCATCGTCTCCCACCGGTGGGTGCTTCGATCCCCAGCTCCTGCAGCTACATGTCCCATGTGTCCTTGGACAAGACACTAAAATCGCTACCGCTGCTTTGTCGGCAGTGTATGAATGTGTATGAATGTGTATGAATGAATTAGTTACTGCTGATGGTTTAACTACATCAGTGTGTGAATGTGTAGGTGTGACATACTGTGTAAAAGTGCTTTGAGTAGTCAGAAGACTAAAAAATGGTTATACAAGTTAAGTCCATTTACCATTTGAATGCAAGCTATTGTAATTTCTTTGCATGAGGAGATGCCAGAAAGCTTTAATTCTTAAACACCTGTGGAAATCCCATCCTCTCAATTTGATTCTTATTTTTTAACTCTTTTTTTTTCCTTGTAATTATTTTGTGTTTTAATTCCATATCTTCATTTCAGATTTTGAGATGAGGGTTGTCCTTCTGGGGAACAGCTGGTCTCAACAGAATTCAGTGGGAAACTTAATGATGGGCGGGAAAGTGTTCGAGGCAGACAAAGATCCACACTTTCAGTCAGTCAGAGGACGGTGGAGGGAGAACAAAGTAATAACCGTCATCAACACTCCTGATCTGCTGCTTTCCAAAATCTTTGATGATAAACTGAAAAGACATTTGGAAAAATGTGCTAGACTCTCTGCACCTGGACCTCATGTATTCCTGCTGGTTCTACAGCCTGAAGACTTCACTGAGCAACACAAACGGAGGCTCTGCAGAGTCCTTCAACACTTTGGTGGTCAGTCATTTGATCATTCACTGGTTCTGATCTCAACACCCAGTGAGAAGAGTTTAGGCTACAATCATATGATCAATCCACACTTACAAGAAATAATTACACTGTGTGGAAACAGATACTTGATGCAGGAGAACCTTGAACATCAAGAGCTGGAAACACATTTGGATCAAATTTTTGAAAAAAAAAACAGAGAGCATCTGAGCCTGAATCCTTTCAAGGACCAAACAAATGCTGGTAAGTATTCTGACATGTGACGGATATTTAGACAATAGCTACGATATCAAAATGTTTGTTTATTGTAGATAAAACCAATGATGGATTTGTATTTTTGTACAGGGTTGACAACAAGGATGGATATCAGCACTTCAAGCCCAGGTAAGTCCTTCAAGTTTGTATTTTTTTATAAAATGGACAGAATAGAAACTCAGACTTTGCCCTTAGTGATCCTGTTGGTAAATCTTTATTTACTCACTGCTTAAAGGAAGAATGTGCAACTTTTTCATCCAGTAGATGTCGCCTGTGAGCACCAGCATTAAACCAAAACAAACTGATGTTTGCCAACACCTCCAGCCAGACACATCTCCAACCCCCCTCCACTCGCGTTCGCACTAAGGAGTTATCAATAAAAAGGCACCATAAATAAGCACCATTGTCCCTGCTGAAGCTGCAATTGCCTGTGCCCTGCATCGTTGTGTTAGCAGGCTAATGTTAGCACACTTTGGTTAGCTCGTAGCTTCACATTGCACCAATTACCGTGATCTAAAGACTCTTAATTGACATCCGAATAAGCAGTGAGTAGGCTATTTTTCTTTCCTCTAGTCCAGGGTTTCTCAAACTTTTTGGGCCCTTATCCGGCCAAAGACATTTTTCAGGAAATAATTTGGGAAAAGAACATAACTAAACAAATGTATGTGGTGTTCATGAAACTGTTGGCTTATGTCACCCCGCAAAAGACAAACAGTGCTTTGGGAAAACAGAATACATGGAGGTAAATCCCATAAAAATGTATTAGTGGTGGGCGATATGGAAGAAATATCATATCACGATCACAATTTTTTCACAATTTTTTTCCATACTGATCTTAAAGAAAAATTTTGCAAGTTACCAACCAGTTTAACCAAACTTATTTCCCTGTATAATGTTTTTAATTGCACAAATACTGTTCTTATAAGTTTAGTCTATTTAAAATTGTCTTTGTTGCTGGACATCTCCCCAGAACATTTTTAACACCAGAAATGTCTTTCCCTGCATTCTGACAAATTTGTATGTACAATTGTAGGCTTTTATGCACCACTTTAAATTAATGATTTAGTAATGTGTGCTCATTTGTGTCTCTAAATCTGTTAGGGTTCATCAGGTACCTTTTTATACAGTGATGCATTCATTTAAAAACATGTAGACTTCAAACATAATCCAAAATGTGATTATTCTGTGACACATGGTCAAAGTAAGTTTTACTGAATTAAGAGTTTTATTCACGGAGGGGGCTGGACATCGTTGATTGACGGACAGACAGTCACCATGGTTACTCACTCTCACCTGCCTGCTGCACACTGAACAAGATGAGAAAGAGCTGCTGACTGACATCACTTCAAGCAGCATGCATAGATACTAATGCATGGAAATAAATGTTTGTAGGTGACTGTTCGAAAACGTTTTTTTAACAACCGAGGTCCAGACCTCGCTGATATTATCGCCTCCCTCCATTTCATTCTCGTTTCGGTTATCACAACAGGTGGGCTTCGGGTGGAGAGGCTTGTTAATAACTTTAAAAACTGAGAGAGAGCAGAAAACACTGGCAGCATCAGTTTAAATAACGGGATTACAAGACAAATTCCTATCAACTTTTGTTGAACTGGCTTTAATAAACTAGAACTACATCTCCCATCACAGACTTTCTGTATCTGACTCTCAGCAGACTATTAACGTCTCTCGGGCTCGTTAAGGGTTCATTATGTCGTGGCCCGAAGCACAAACCTTAACTTTGCAAACTCTCCAGATAACTGTTTATTGCATCCTGCATCCTGTATCTCAAACAGTTGCATATAACAGGGATGGAGTTCTTTTTACGGTCTAACTCTTAAGTTTGGTTTTCGGGCGATGCATCCCGCTCTGCTGCCGAGCAGAGGGGGTGAGGGGGGATCGTCTGTGTAGGAGCATAAACTGCAGCATGATAAAATGAACACATTAGCTCCGTTCTACGATCTCCCTGTTTTTGTAGATTGTCAACACGTTTAAATCCTTCACGATCTAAGATCGTTATATCGCCCACCACTAGTTTGCTGTGATAAAACTTTTTTGACATTTGTCACGTACCCCCTGCAGTACTCCCACGTACCCCTAGGGGTATGCGTACCCCCATCTGAGAAACACTGCTCTAGTCTTGACTTAAACAGCTTTCTACACAATGCCATCCTGTCCATGTAAACACGGCTCCAACAACAACACAGCCAGCAGGATTTGAGCTTCTCACTCATTGTAGACATTCACGAGTCAGAGAGAAATTTACAGAGAATATATTTGTTTTCTGCTTTATTTATTTGTGTCAAATGTTGCACATTCTGCCTTTAATGCATTTAAGCAAACAAATGAAATTCAAAATATATCATTCATAATGTACAAAAATGCATTAAATGTCTGCATTAGTCACTGAATATGATGAAAAGATTCTGAATGTAATATTGCAAGGTAATATATTTAATCATATTTATTTTTGTTCCAGCGCCAAATCTCTGTGTTGTGTTGTTTGGCAAAAGTGATGAAAAAAAAACAACACTGGGAAACTTCATTATTGGGAGAAGGCAGTTTTATAACCTAAAATCCTTTACAAACAATAAGTGTGAGGTTGCCAATGGAGAGTGGAAAGGGAAACAGTTAACAGTTGTGAAAACTCCAGACATTTTCAATCTGTCCATAGAAACAGTGAGACAAGAAATGAGAAGCTGTGCAGAGTGCTGTCCTCCAGGACCAAATGTCCTGCTTCTATTAGTGAAACCTTCTGATTTCACTGAAGAGAACAGACAAACTCTGAAGTTCATCCTGAGTTTGTTTGGTCAAGATGCTTTGAATTACTCGATGCTCATCAGCACACATGAGGTGGAAGGAGCAGGAATCTCTTTCAGCCGTATTCTTAAAGACTGTGGAGAGAGACACTACAGCATAGCTGAAAACAACCAGTTGTTAATGATGGAGAAGATAGAAAACATTGTGCATGAAAACAAAGGAGCCTTCCTCACCTTCACTGAAGAGTCCATAAGACCAAAGTCTGAACATAACAAGTCAGCTTTAAACCTGGTTCTGTTTGGGAGGAGAGGAGCAGGGAAGACTTCAGCAGCTGAGGCCATTTTAGGTCAGACAGATCTTCATTCAGTCTCCAGCTCATCAGAGTGTGTTAAACATCAGGGTGAGGTGTGTGGACGTCGGGTTTCCCTGGTGGAGCTTCCTGCCCTGTATGGAAAACCTCTGGAAGAAGTGATGGCGGAATCGTTCAGATGCATCACCCTCTGTGATCCTGAGGGTGTCCATGCCTTCATCCTGGTCCTACCTGTGTGTCCACTCACTGATGAAGACAAGGAAGAGTTTAAGACCTTCCTAAGCACATTCAGCTATCCAGTCAATGACTTCACCATGGTTCTGTTCACTGTCGAGTCAGATCCGTCAGATTCAGCAGTTGTCAACTTTGTACAGAAAAACAAAGACATCCAGGATCTCATTCAGAGATGTAGAGGAAGTTTTGTTCTCAACAACCGTGATCAGCAGCAGATTCAAGAGCTGTTTGACAATCTAGAGAAACATAAACCTGGGATTAAAAACAAACTACTCAGCTACACAACAGAAACATTGAGACACGCCCTCATAGAAAGGGTCGACACACTACAGGTGGAGCTTAAGGACCTGAAAACAACAAGGATAACCAGACGTGAGTAGTTACTTGTATAAGCAATATCACATGAGAGGGAGTGCTGTTGTATTAAATGTCAGTGTGGCTGGGATTTGGCCATAGGTACAAGAAAGAGTTGCTTTAGTTTAATAAAGTACATCAATTAATTTTATCAAATCAAATGATTTGTTAAGAACAAACTGTTGTATTTTTGACAATATGCTTAGGTTAATGCTGTGTAATTTGTGAGCATATTAACTCCAGACCCTTTTATTTCCCAGGTGGTGATGATGAGAAGCTGAGTCAAGAAGGTCTCAGGATTGTGCTGATAGGGAAGACTGGCTGTGGGAAGAGCTCTTCAGGAAACACCATTCTGGGAAAAAAGACATTTATGTCTAAACTAGGCCAAAAGTCTGTCACCAAGCATTGTCAGAAAGAACACTGCGAGGTGGATGGACGTCCAGTCACTGTGGTCGACACTCCTGGTCTGTTTGACAATAGCTTGTCTAATGAAGAGGTTTATGAAGAGCTGATTAAATGCATCAGTCTTCTGGCTCCAGGACCACATGTCTTTCTGTTGGTGTTAAATATCTGCAGATTTACACCAGAGGAGAAGGAGACATTACAATTCATCAAGAAAGGCTTTGGGAGGAATGCTGACAAGTTCACCATCGTTCTTCTAACTGGAGGAGATTCATTAAAGCATGAGAACATGTCCACTGAAGAATACATTGCAACAGGATGTGATGAAGCCTTTAAGAAACTGATTGCTGACTGTGGAGGAAGATACCACGTGTTTGATAACCGTGATGACAAAAACAAAACTCAAGTCAGTGAGTTGATAACTAAGATTGAAGAAATGGTGAGAACTAATGGAGGCAGCTGCTACACCAATGAGATGCTGATAGAAGCTGAAGCCGCTATAAAGAAAGAAACGGAGAGGAACCTGAAAGAGAGGGAAGAAGAGATGAAGAGAGAGATGGAAGGACTTAAAATAAAACATGAAGATGAAATGAAAGCCATGAAAGAACAAAGAGCAGAAACTGAAAAGCAGAGAAAGATCAGGGAAAAACAACTTGAGGAAAACATCAACAAAGAAAAAGAAGTGAGAAGGAAAGAACAGAAAAAAAGAGAAGAACAAGACATGATGAGAAAACAAAAGGAAGAAATTCAAAGACAGGACTGGGAACAGAAATTTGCCATTTTGGAAAAAAAGAAACAGTCAGAATCAGAGCAAGATGACACCATTGACCGAAGGCTGGAGGAAGCTAGAGAAGAACTGAAAAAAGAAAGAGATAAGTGGGAGAAAAAACTTAAAGACTGGTGGGCGGATCGATTTCAGGAAAATGAACAGATACGACATGAGGAAGAAATCAAACGAAAAAAGCTCCAAGAGGAATACAAAAAGGAGAGAGAAGAGAATGAAAGGAAAAGACAAGAAGAGGACCGAATCGGAAAGCAACAAAAGGAAAAAGAGAAAAAAGCCTTTGAGGAAAAATATAACAGTCTGAGGAAAACCTATGAAGAGGACGCCAGGAAGAAAGCTGAAGAGTTCAATGACTTCAAACAGAAATGTGCAGCTCTGAAGCAGGAGCTTGAGAAACAGATGGAAGAACGAGATGAGAGGTATGACCTCTTACATGCACTTTTTGACTATAACGAAGAACACCAAAAGAAAAAACATCGAGAGGAACTCTACAGCGTCGTAAAATGTGTCACCAGAAAGAAAGAAAATATGCAAAAAGTCAACAAACTACTGAAACAACACAAAAAAGAAATGAAGAGGTCAGAAACTGAAGAGGACAAAAAATCCCTGCAAGAAACTCATGAGAATGAAATAACTAATCTGTTACAGGAACTCACAGATCAAGTGAACGCATCTCCATGTAAGGTTTCATGAGGTTTCCTTCATGAAATAGTAACAACGACACAGCAGTTTGTTTACTTTCCTCGAACTCCGTTTCAATTTGGTTTTCAAAAACAGAAATGTATATGAATCGAATCATACACTGCAATGCATTCTGTTGCCAAAGAAAAACTGCTCGTCGGCTGTCAGGTGTTTTAACACCAGCCTATGCAACATAGATACCAATCTGTTTAACAATCTGGAGTTTAAGTTCACAAAGGACATAAGTACCAAGAAAAATATACTTACAAGATCAAATCTCTGATATGACACTAAAAGAGTTGCTCAATAACATGATCTGGAGAAATATGGAATATGTTACTAAACGTTGAGTTATGAAAGAGATATTTTGGACTACTCTCTGACTATTTTCTTGTTCCTTTTATTTCTTCAATAAGGCCTGAACTTATTTTTCGGTTGACATGTGTTGCACTTGTACGCGCATTCATGTGCCCTCTTGTCCAGCTACAGTTCAGGTGTCGTGGTGATGTGTGGATTGAAGGCATATCACTGAGGATTTGGCAAACGGCTTTATAAAGCATAATATTTTGATTAATAGCAGGTGGGTTGCAGATATCTTTGAGTTTATTAGACACCTGCAGTGATCCTCCACAGTGCCCACTTAGACTATACTAAGGACGATAATTTTACATTTGAACTTACATTTGAATTTTGAGGCTTTTATTGTCCAACTCACTTTATGTAGTATTTCTTTAACATTTGAGGCCTTTGTCACTAAAAATGTCTTTAATCTGTAATTTACAGAACATATTCAGGTGTGTTGTCAGGTTGACTGTGTAAGATCATCATTACAACGCATGTTTGTGTCATTATTAATCATTCTAGTTCAGAAATATCTCAGCAGAAACTCTGCTCAGCCAATGGAGACTGCCTGCATTTCTTATTTTAATACGTGTAAGAACATACATTTATAGACGTTTTTTTATGGTGACTTTCTTTGTTTTGCTTCTGGTCACTTGAGAATCAATGCTCTATAGTAGATAACGTCAACTCAAGACAAAAGTTGAATGCTTTGTGATGGAATTTTGGTGTCTGTGTATTGTTTTAAAATATAAATACAGTGTTTTCCTAAAATGTTGTGTGGACTGGTTTTATTTTCAAACTATGTGATGCAATGGAGACAATGTATAAGGAATGGGGTTCTACTCTAGACCGACTAACTTTTCTATCCATCTATTTGGGTTATTTTTTTGATACAAGGGTAAAACTGTAACTGTGGATACTCCATCCATTATCTTTTACCACTTTTTCCCGTTCGTGGTAGCGGGGAGCTGGAGCCGATCCCAGCTGTCATTGGGCGAGAATCCATGCATGCACGAGGAGACCATGCAAACTCCACACAGAGAGGCTCAAACCGGAAACCTCCTCGCTCTGAGGCCACAGTGCTAACTGAGAAAGTGAAAAAAAAAAAAAAAAAAAAACTGAAATAAGGAATGGTAATTTAATGAGTTAAAATAGTTTCACTAAATTATAAAACAACCTAGGATGAATAAGTACATATTGTTGTGGCCTTATTCTAAATAAAGGGGTGTGTGTAGGTCTCTTTATGGCTTCATTGGTTGTTCTTTTGTCAAAAATGTAACGCTGAAGCTGCCACTTCTTGTTTAAAGGCTGCGCTGTAAATGATAGAAGCATGACGGCAACCGGGGCCAAATTTAGTAATCTGTCTAAATGTATTTACATTATACTTCTTACAGCATTTTTACAATAAGTGCACTAGTGTTGTAGTCAAGCCCACACTAACCGAGATCAAGACATACCCGAAACCGGAGTGCTTCAAGAACCAAGACCATAAATAGCACAGAAAAATCATCATCTTGTGTGCAGAGTGTCACTCACTTATACCATAACACCAGCAAGGTTGGGGCCGTAACTGGGGGATTAAAAATCAAACTGCAAATTAATTTAAGTTATTTGTTGTTTAAGTAAGAGGTGTTTTCCTTCTAATCTCAGTAATGAAATGGAAAAATAGACGATCAGTGGTGGTCTTGATTTAAAATCGAGAGTTCGCCCAGTCTGACCGAGACCGAGACAAGACCAAGTAAAAAATGCATTTGATTCCGAGACCTTCGAAAGGTACCTCAAGACCGTATTTGAGACCAAGACTGACTTTGAGTACGTACAACATTAAAGTGCACATCCATCTATCTCCTATTTGATAGATACTGTAAATACTCTAATTTGGATGGATACAGTGATCAGTATTAGACATTCAGACAGACTTATAGATACATAGATAGCTATAAAAAGTATCTATCCTATCAGATTTACAGTATAATTAAATCTAACAAATCTACAGTATCTACTGATTATAATATTTTAGCAAAATTTACAATATCTGTCTATCCAATATCATTTACAATATCTTTATAAGAAAGAAAAGTTTCCTAAATATTGAACAGCGTTTAGACTTTGCAGTATTTATCTATCCAACAATAATAATCAATAGATGATGTACTCACAGACGGACCGTACTGGATGTACCTTTTTCTTTTCTTTTTTTTTAAGATTTATTTTTGGGCTTTTCGTGCCTTTAATGCAGAGAGAGGACAGTGGATAGAGTCGGAAACCAGGGAGAGAGAGCGGGGAATGACATGTGGAAAGGGGCCACGGGTGGAAGCGAGCCCGGGCCTACCGCTCGAGACGAGAGTCTCAATACATGGGAAGCGCGCCCTAACCATTGCGCCACCAGCACGCCCTGGATATACCTTTATAGATATTACCGTAACAACTGTTAGACAGAAAGATATGATACTTTTGTTAGTCTGATATTGTAAATGCAGTTAATGTGGAGAGATAGACGCTTTACCGATTCTCAACAAAGATATTTACAGTATTTAATAACAGTGTGACAGTGTCTACATTATCCAATAACAGAAACAATCTGACATATCTATAGTTTCTAACAATTGTGACAGTGTCTCTCAATCAATAACTACAGCAGCATTACGGCAGCAGTCTATCTTTCTATCTATTCATCCATCTATCTATCTATTTATCTATCCAGCCATCCATCTATCTATCTATCAGTCTGCCTGTCTATCTATCTAGCTATCTACCTCTACAGTATCTAACACCATCACTAAGTACAAAGCAACATCTAAGAGTATGGAATAAACAGTTTTAGTTCGGCATCTTAATATCTAAGAAAATATAAAGAAGTTTTGAAAGACTATCCTAAAATACACTTTATAGCCATCAGAATGTACAGTATCTTTCAACAGTGTTCACAATACAGACTAAGTAACAGCGACTTACCTTGAGATTAGTTTCATGCAGCCGTAAAATACCGTAAAATCTGGAATATAAATTACACCGGTATGTGAGACGCAGCCTGTTTTTTGACATCTCTCAGAGAGAAAGAAAAGGTTTGAACTATCTTCTTGTCTGATGATCTCCAAGGCCTTCAGCAAAGTCCACAACATGCAGTTTATTCTCATTTAGTAACTTCTGCATTTGCTTTGTTTAGTTTGCACTCCAACTAGATACATTACGGGATTTGAGTTCTCAGCCTATGTCTCATCCTAACTTGTGAAGTACGGACCCGCAGCACGACTCTGCTGGTCACTGGTTGACTTTTATGAGTTAGGAGTCTTTCAATCCAACCAGAACTTACTTACAAGCTTTTATTTACTCAACAATATACCACGTTTCTTGAAACCTTTAATTGAACAAAGGTCATTACAACGCGTGAGAGAAAGTGTGCACACTTTTATGATCGAAAAAATCGGTATAAAAAGTGAGTCTTTTCACACGATTATTCTATAATCCTCACTGGCAGCTGACTGAAACTTCCAGAGACTTTGATGGGAACAGCAGATAGTTGTTTTTCCTTTAAAGGCTTTATATGCGATTTTTCACACTTAAATATAATAGAAATCAAATATATCCTCTGAAAATAACTCTGTGAGTCATGACTGTCTGTCAGTTTTTTTTCTGCTTGTTGACATAGCCTGCCCGGCCTGCCGCTCCTCCCCGCGCGAATAAAAGTTGTTTAAATTTAGGGACTAGAGTAAAGAAGAATAACATAATGTACTCACGTCTTAACTGCGTTTCTAGATCACACTTATTTCGGGTAAATTTACATGCAGTGTGAAGATACAAGCATAATAAAGATCACTAGCATTAGCATGCTAACACAACAATGCACTGCGAGTTGTTTTGGTTTCATGCTGCTGTTCAAGGGCGACATCTGCTGGATCAAAAAAATCACATATAAAGCCTTTAAATCAATGATTTGTGTAATACACACTTTCACAATATCAACAAAACAGCAAAGAAGAAAATATTTGTGAACATAAAACATAATGAAGCAGTTTCATTATGTGCACGGACATCGTACAGGTCGCGTGCATACGGTCTTTGGTCGTGCACCTGTCGCAGGATATAAACGTCACCACCCCCTCCCACTCACTCACGATGATTTTGTCTGAATCTTTGCATTGCATTCTCACATCAGCTCACCCCAGCACCCCAAGGGGCAGGCAGGAGACAGAGTAAAAGTAAAGCCAGAGTGAAAAATTGAGCCGTTTGTGTTCACATGCAGCTTCGGGAAGTTTTCAGGACTTTAGTGCAAGTTTGAAAGCACTAATAGTAAGATGTGTAGTAGCAAACGGTGTACAGTGACAGCCGTATAAAAAAAATAAGTGAGGGTTTTTCAGAATTTGAATCAGTCCCTAGTCTCTTGTTTTGAAACTTACCTGATCTTGAAGAAGCCTTTTGCAGTTGCACACAGCCTGGATTGGGATCCCTTCCACTGATGGCCATGACCAGAAAATCCTGGACCCTTCTCAAATTTCATTCATTCAGCGTCTTGGAAGACCGTGTTTCACTGCAGAGATGTGCTGGACAGATAGCAAGACAAAAAAAAAGGATCACAACTGGTAAAATACTCACATTATTTGCTATATTTGCCATCAGCTTGTTAGAATAACAATATTGACTGTGGTTATTTTTCAGTGTAGGCACAAAAAGGAATGTGTTTTTGTGGATTAGGATCAAAACATTGAAATGGAATAAATAAAAGAAACTAAACAACAAGCACTATTGCTAAAAAAAACTAAACGTCATTGATATTAAAGGTTTTTATGTACAAATTGGTATACATACAGCTGTATTTTTTTTTACAGAAATGTCTCAGGAGCAGAGCTTACAAATAATGCAGCAGGATGGTTAAGTGATATTAAATATTAATAGTGCTTTTACACTTGTGAAGAAACTACAAAAAAAACTCATGAAGTTTTCAGGATGAGCTGCATGTGAAAGCAAAAAACTAAATTTCTCAATCTGGATTTATCCAGAGTTTCTCCTGCCAGAGTGAGCTGATGTGAGAACGCAGCAGTATATAATCAGGAGAATTCACCTCGAGCGAGTGGGAGGGGGTTTAATCCCTGTGATCAGTGCATGATCGTAGACTATCTGCACACGAGCAGTACGATCTCCGTGCTCTAATTAAGTTGCTGCAATATGTTTTCTGTTCTCCAGTATTTTTTTTCTCCACTCTTTAGTTCTTATTGTGATTCTGTTGAACTACACATAGCATTGATATAAAGGCAAATATTCAGACTCTGTTGCTTCGGCTGCCACTATTGCATCATTCTTATTAACGCCACACCCCCCCCCCGACCGGGACAGTGTCCCACTGTTATGTGCATGTGTGAATGACTAGATTAGGAGGAGTTCAGGGGCAGTCCTTTTTCAGAAATTCTCTAGAAATTATTTCAGGAGTGCATATGTGAAAACAGCTTAAACAGGGTTTACAGGTAGGCACAGGTATGTCAGTAGGCAGCAGGGCCGGCCCGTGGCATAGGCAGTATAGGCAAATGTTCGGGGCGCCTGCCATCCATAGGCAGCGTCCTGTCACCCGAAATGAGTGAGGAAGAAAAGTTGAAGATAATAAGAAAAAGAAGGAAACGTTTGTATAACTGTTACTTAATGTTGTTTTATCTAATACCATTTCCATGCTATTATTCAGTTAAATAACAATAGAAGCCATACATATCTACATCACCTATTAAAGAAAAGCTGTAAAACATAAAGTTGTATGCCAGTTTTCTTTAAGTGTATGAACATTGTGATTGGTGAAGGAATTAGTTGCAATACAAGGGGCACCAACTAAAATCTTGCCTAGGGCACCAAGTGGGTTAGGGCCGACTCTGGTAGGTAGGCTGGTACCTAGTGAGGTGTTGTTGCAGAAGAGCAATAGCACAGACACCTGGCAAGAACTCAACATTGCGACAAAGTCACACTGCGCTGCAGGTGTCTGCACTCAATTGGGAAAAGGATAATTGTGCATACTGGCCTCTGATTGAAGGGAAGCTGGTGCTGCGTTGTTCAATTACTTTTGTGATTAGTGTGAATATATTGTGGACTGAAAAATGTGATTTATTGTGGTTCATCATTGGGAGTGAGGAAGGAGAGGGTCACTTTTAGGCCAAGGCTGGTTTCCCCCTAGGCTGGTCATAATATAATACTAAAGTTTAAGTACCAGCCAGCAATGATTACGTTCTTTATTAACATTTAATACAAGTCGTAATAAGCAGAATTTTAACAAGTACAAGTTTCGGGTATTTATAAAGTACATTTATTACCTTTTTGGTGGTTTCATATCCTCGTAGCAGTGCAGGTACGCCTGAGCTCAACGGTCAGATCCGGTCTGAACCGGTTTAACGGTCCAGTTTATCAGATGAAGTTCGCGGATAATATATTAATTTGAATATATTAAAGTGTACAATGTATCTTAATTTATTGTAAAGCCCAGTTTTGAAAGATAAAAACAGTTGTGTTACTAAAATATGAACTATAGTTAGCATTATACTAATTTTAAATCACACTTGTTCTCGAAGTAAAAATCCCATTCATTTTCTCCATAGCGGATTTGATGTTTAGCTATAATGTCATAATCATCCAAGGTAGACTTACCTTGAGCTACCCGAGTATAAAACGATGGTGTACACGAGACACATGTTGATATGATATCGACCTCGTTTTAAGAAAAACAAGATTTATTCACGATATCCGGGCAAAGAACTACACTACGATCATAGAGTGTCACAGAGACGTCTCTGATTGGTTGAGCTTGCTGTTACCACGGCAACGTTTCCCACCCCTCGGCGTCGTATGCGAACAGAGAAGTTTCGTTAGCAGGCCAACTGGTTAGTTAGCTAACACGAAAGGTACTAATAACCTAGTCATGCCGCTATGAATGTAGTTTATATTTTCCACAACACACACTACAAGATAGGACAACACTTGCATTGACAGTATAAACATTATAACAACAACAAAAGTTACTTTTAAGAAGAAACGATGCCATTCGCAATGGATTGTGGGATGGGTAGTTCCTTGACAAAAGAGTCTTGTACCTTTGCCTTTTTTCCGTTTTTTAATGCCGTTTTGGTGCCGAATTAAATGTACGATAGTCACGAGTATTGGGGTAACTGACTGTCTTGGTTCCAGGCACCAATCTCTTGATACAAGGATTTTGTGAAAAATTAAGGGGGGATTTGAATGGGGAAATTTACTTCCGGTACCAGAGCCACTAAAGAAGTCGGCGGTCACAGTTGAGCTGTATTTGCAATAATAAATTAATGTAGACACAGCATTATCGTAAAACTTCTATTAGTAGTCCCGGCTTTATGAAAAAATACCGTGCCTTTTTTGAGTTTTTATGAATTATTTGAGACGGGCCTAATCATTGTTAAACAAAACTTGTTCACAGCAGAGATAGGAAAGACTATAACATTGTATATTAAACCAACAGAATATTTCACTGTGTAGGCTTACAAAGTTAGGATAGGCCTATGGATGAACAAATTAAGTTAAAAATCACTCAATTGAATTTGCTTTGACAGACAGCCCATGTCTTCCAAGCTGCATATTAGTATATAACACTCAATGCACAGAGACGTGTCTTAATTTGTCAATTGTGCATCAACCTTACACCAGGCTAATAAAACGGACCTTAAATATTGATGGGCTTTTATTTGAACTTTTACTGTATTTCATTATCTTTCAGAGTCTTTCCATGTAGGAAAAGGTTTGGCTTCAATTAACAATTATTGGTCCAAATGAATTTGCTCTCACACCTTTATTTTCTTTAATAATAAATTCCTGATCATGTTTGGACAGATGGTGGCGCCATCATATCATTAAACCAACGAGAGTGCCTTCTTCCAGATTTAAGTTTTGTATTTTCCTGTATTTAGATTCTGGGAGTTATTTTTATGTCATGCAAAGTAGTTCAGGGTTTGCTAATGTAGTTTAAGTGCTTGTAGGCTATAATGCAGCAGTGATACGGATAGCACATGACACTATTTTAGGGGTCCACACTTACCATATATTTTTCTGTAAAACTCTGATCCAGCAGCTTTTAAAGGGCACATTTTGATTTGAGGTATTATTTAAGCCCTTAGTCTTCTCTGCAGAAGGGAAGAACCTCTGAGTAAGAAAGCCCATTAAAGACTTGCTTCCTTAAAACTTAAATTATTAAAGGTCACTTTTCAACCAGTATAAATATGTCTCAGAGCTCCCAAAAACATGTGTGAAGTTTCTTGTTCTAAATCCACTCTGGATGGACTACTCATAATTGGGGGGTTTGTAGACAGACTGGAGACACATTAGTGTGAGAAACATATGTGTGACCTCAGCAGTGATCGAAGTTAACATAAACTTTCAAATGCTGGACATGCAAGCAGCAAAATGTCAACAATAAGCTCTAAACATCAAATGTTGGCATTTTATTGAGAAAGTAAACACTCATGATGAGTATGGGTACAGCTCAACTCTCAACAGAATCAAGAGACAGAACGAACAAGGAGAAAAGCAGAATGTTGATATGCAATTTACTGCATAGGGTTACCGGGGGGGGGGGGGGGGGGGTGAAAAAGGTTTTGTGATAATACTGTTTATTTTCTTTGACCTTAATCACCAGGAGTGAAAACTGAGCAGGAATGTGGTCAGAAATGTTACTCAACTTTGTTGGTCGTTCAGTTGCTGGGGATCTGCAGTGTTGGGACGTTAAAATGCAAACAGTCGCTAGACTCATCTTGTATGTGGCATCACACATATCTTAGTCTGTTCACACAAGATAAACCAGAGACATTTGTAGTTGGATGGAACAGCTGAAAAGCTTGGTAACTTCTCGGCTGGGCTTGAGGAGGACGTCGTCGGGTTTAGAAGCACTTGCGATGGACGATGGAGGGGCCGGACTCGTCATACTCCTGCTTGCTGATCCACATCTGCTGGAAGGTGGAGAGGGAGGCCAGGATGGAGCCGCCGATCCAGACAGAGTACTTCCTCTCAGGGGGAGCGATGATCTGGAGGAGAGGGGAGAGAAACAGGTAAGAATGGAGGCATCCACACTAAATATACAGCAGATTACATTTGTTTAGTTTATCTTGCACAAAGTATCAGACAAATTCTAATTAAACGAGTGAGAGAAAAAGCTTTAAATGAAGTTTCTAAACCCTGATAAAGCATGTTCCCTTATTGAAATATGCTTAATGTACACATTTTCTCAAAGTATAACCACAGCACGCAATACCATGATGCAGATTTATGACATCACATCTAAATGCCATTTCAAGTTTGTAAGCATCTCATTTTAGGCTCTTTTAACACTGTAGATTTGAGCAGCCTGCTGTGCCTTATTGAGTGTTTAAATTGCGGTATAAAATACTTTTCCATATTAGACAGTTTCACTAAATTCTATCAAAGATGTTGCCTTAAATTTCTAGAGAAAGACACATACAGAAAAGAAAAATCCAACAGTCCCTTAAATTTAAATAACCTAGTTGGTCCACTGGGGGCAGCAGAGCCTATGTTATTAGAGGAATAAAACCTTCAGGCTGAACTTGCAGACTAAGGGGCTGAAATTAACTCAGACCAACATTTATCAAAGCTGTACCCTCTCCTGAAATATGGTGAGTTGTCCTTCACTGAGCCATGGACTTTGCAGTGTTGCATGTACACAACACTTCAGAGAAACCTTATTGTTGTATCGCTGTGTAGTGACAGTAAAGGTGTTCAGATTCTATGAGAAAACACAAATCTGTACCTTGATTTTCATGGTGGGTGGGGCGAGGGAAGTGATCTCTTTCTGCATGCGGTCAGCGATGCCGGGGTACATGGTGGTGCCTCCGGACAGCACGGTGTTGGCGTACAGGTCCTTACGGATGTCCACGTCGCACTTCATGATGCTGTTGTAGGTGGTCTCGTGGATGCCGGCAGACTCCATTCCTAGAAACACAGAACCCAAAGGAGAGTTTAGTCAAATGTTCAGGTCAACCTTTAAGCTCATTGAAGAGCGACACTGAGGCAGGATAACAGAGTCTTCAAGCTGTTCCAACTACAAAAGGTCTGGTTAATGTTGGTCTCAAAGTTCTGTTTTTCAAACCATTTTGTGGGCTTTCAGTGATTGTCGTTTTAAATGCCTGACTTTGCAGCAGCTCTCATCATAAGCTGCAATGCAACTTGTGATGTTTTGAGGCTTTTCTTTTGAACACATCCACTGTAAAGAATGGGACAAATGGGTCCAATAAAAATACCTCTTGGCCGAGCGAGCTGTAGTGCAACCACTAAATCATACTCTGATATTTGTGCCACATCTCATATCCACAGGGATCAGTATTTTGAGAATAAGGAAGTAAGTTGGACATGACAAGAAACAAGGTCAAATTTGCAGAAAAATGTCAGTGATAGTGAAAATTACAAGGTTGGGGGGGGATTGTGAACACAACATGGAAACATCTCTGCCTCATGGATGTCTTTTACCCACCGATGAATGAGGGCTGGAAGAGAGTCTCAGGGCAGCGGAACCTCTCGTTTCCAATGGTGATGACCTGCCCGTCAGGAAGTTCGTAGCTCTTCTCCAGAGAGGAAGAGGAAGATGCGGTCTGCATCTCCTGCTCGAAGTCCAGAGCGACGTAGGCGAGCTTCTCCTTGATGTCACGCACGATCTCACGCTCGGCTGGAGTTCAGAGGGGGGAAACATTTCAGCGTTAGTTTACTGCAACCATTCAGTAGTTTCGTCTGTATCAAAGTTAACATTTAGAGTCTCTAGAGAATACTGAGCAAGGGAGTAAAACTCATACCAGTGGTGGTGAAGCTGTAGCCTCTCTCGGTCAGGATCTTCATCAGGTAGTCTGTCAGATCTCTTCCAGCCAGGTCCAGACGCAGGATGGCGTGAGGCAGAGCGTAACCCTCGTAGATGGGCACAGTGTGGCTGACACCATCACCAGAGTCCAACACGATACCTACCAGACAAGCAGCGCCACATTACAAGAGGAAAACACTACAGTTCTTCTTATGGCCACTAGATGCTGCTCCAAGGGAACTCAATACTCAACGAAAGTGCTTTTTAAAGAAAGACTTCCTGCTGAAAAAGCAAACTAATTGACACCTTGAATGTTAAAGTTTTAGAATGATGTTTGCGGTTGTGTCGAGGTCTCACCTGTGGTACGACCGGAGGCGTACAGTGACAGCACGGCCTGGATGGCCACATACATGGCAGGACAGTTGAAGGTCTCAAACATGATCTGGATTAAACAAAACAAGAATGTGTCATCATTTCTGCTCTGAAAACTGAAGAAACACACATCCTGTGGGTCAGTTGACTCTTTAAATAAAACTGAGTACTGAAAGTCAGGAAAATTATCAAACTTACATGAATTACAAAAAGATAAAGGGAAACTAATGTGCAGGTGTTAAACATCTGAAACATAAGGGCAGCTTATGATACCTGTGGATCACACCTGTGTCAGGTTCAGTGGAGCCTCGGTCAGCAGGACGGGGTGCTCCTCAGGCGCCACTCTCAGCTCGTTGTAGAAGGTGTGATGCCAGATCTGCAAGACAGGAGAGCGATTTATTCAGTAAATAAAATAAACACGCACAGGACAGTCCGAGTGTGGCTTTGTTCAGCCGTCTGATATCTTCAGTGGAGGGGAAAATAACCAGAGTACTTCTATAAGCAAATGTATTTACATGAGAGCTTGTTGATGCATCCATTTATGTGAATCCAATAATAAGTTTCAGCTTCTACAACAACACATGACGCATAAGATATCATTTTTCAATTACGTCTGAGGCACAAACTGTATCACAAAGGGTTTGTTCTACTATTCATAACACCTTTTGGGATCATTCCCATCCCCATCATGAGATATTTTACTTCAAGCTCCTGTGACGGAATTTCAGGTTGTCGCATTTGGCGCTCCCCCCTTGGACAAAGTGTAATAATGATCTCTTTGCTGATTTATATCTACACATGCCAATCGTGTTCTCAAACAAAAAAAAGTGAATCTTTATCTTGAAAATTGTTTATTTCACCGGGTTCATGTTGATTGCCTCATCTGGCAACAAGCTTTAAAAATAACTTTAGAGAAATAAGTCATCTTGTTGCTGAGGAGCTCATTTGCTGTCAAAGTTCATAGAAAGATCAGCATTAACATCAGTCTGTTTCATAACTAAAAACACCTCACATGAGCTTTGAAGCAAATATTCAATTTATAAAAAAAGGGGGAAGTTCTGCTTCAGTTCATCCTGATAAAATCATGTTGATGATTCTGATCAATGATCTACAAATCTAACCCGTACATTCATTCATGCACGTGATTTGTGTGTTTTTAAGTCACGTCAAGTAAAGTAAATAATAGTAATGTAAGTAATGATAGTTTGACTGAACACTTAAGCTCTAAGACTGTTTCACAGCTGAGCTGGATGTTTATTTGGTCTGCAGGTGTGTGTGTGTGTGTGTGTGTGTGTCTTCACCTTCTCCATGTCGTCCCAGTTGGTGACAATGCCGTGCTCGATGGGGTACTTCAGGGTCAGGATTCCTCTCTTGCTCTGGGCCTCGTCTCCTACGTAGCTGTCCTTCTGTCCCATTCCTACCATCACACCCTGCACACAACAACACACACGTTTACAGTCACATCACGCTGCATGCATCCGTTTTGACTTCATGGTGATGCAGGTGACATGCAGCAGTATGTACCTGATGTCTGGGGCGACCCACGATGGAGGGGAAGACGGCACGGGGGGCGTCGTCTCCGGCGAAACCGGCTTTGCACATGCCGGAGCCATTGTCGACAACCAGGGCAGCAATATCATCATCCATGTCTGAAAGGAGAGATTTATATTACAGTCATGATGTAACAACTGGCTTTAAGGATCGTTTTAGGCTCACCGTGTTTACATGATGGTCTCTACATTTTATATCCTTACTGTGACAGTTCAGAGACAATATGACACTTTGAGATTTTGCACAGATAGAAAACAGAGTTAACGCTGCAAAGGAACGGCTGAAGAGAAATCCATGTCCTCCCTCTAAAACCTGGAATCAATGCAGAGACTGGTCGCAGATATTCATTTGGGGTTTACAGCAGGAAGTGGCACCGAATTTTTGAATTGGAAACGACTGCAGGACAATCTCGTTCATGCTTTCAAGGAACACTCAAAATAATCCTGAAACTAACCCACAAGTGACATGTGCCATCGTTGGCAAAATTCTTCAAAAAAAAATCTCCTGAGATCAGAAAAGTTTATCCAATTTGTATAGAAACAAGAGGATAGGCAACCTTTCCAGCAATATTATGAAACAGTGTCGTGTCAGGATTTCCTCACGAGTGGAGCGTCTCAAAGTGATGCAACATCCTGATGGAGAAAGAGGAAGTTGTGGTTGATGTGGCAGTAATGTCTCATAACTGGAGCACACTGATTGCGTAACAGGTCACGGTGTGGCTGCTCTCTTGATGTGTAATTACTTAATGAGATGCCTGATTCTTGTTTCAGTTTAATTCACATCCTTCCAGCGGGCGACACTGGAATGACTTTTTCTCTGGGCGTGGCAGTTTGTCTCCTACGTCTTCCAACCGGAAAAACCGACTTATGTAACCTTGTGTCACGTCGCCTCAGGACATCTCCAAACAAGTCGAGGCAGATCAGAACACCACTCCTCTTTAAGCAAACCAAACACCGTCTCTGCTGTGCCACATTTATTTTCTTAATATCCATGCGGCACCCTTTTTCTTAATCACCTCACAGGACTTGAGTCTTGTTAATAAGATGCAAACTGTTCTTACAGAACGTTTAGTTTTAATGTCTGAAACTGTAAAGTGTCTGAAGCTGAGAGGAGCTGCCCCGCCCTCAGGCCAGTCTCACTCATCCGCTGACAAAAATAAATCAGCAAATACCACAAACTGCAAAGAGTGAGAGAAAGGAAGTAAACATGTATTCTAAATCCTGCCATTATGACTTATTACAGCTGATTAAAGCTGCTTCAGTCCTCATCAGGATGCACTTTGGCTTTCTAGAGCAGAAACTAAACAATTCAACTTCTCTCCTTGTCATTAAATTAGGTTAAACTGCAAGAAAAACATGCTTCAAATACGAGTTTAGATCCTTGCTGACATATATCAGTGTTCAGTTATTCCACATTCCTGCCTTAAAGTGCAGTTTTGTCCTTTCAACTAAAACTCAAGCGCCAAGAGAGAAATGTTGAGTGTGAGGACACATCCTCTGACATGCAGAGATGTTTTCTGATTCCCGGATCTTATCCTTCTCCCTGAAGTTAACCCTTCATGAAGAGGAAACGCCCATTTTCTGTGCTTTTATTCCAGACTTCAAAAGAACAGTTAGCTTGTGTGGGGTTTTAAACGTTTTCCAAGATGGTGAAACTTTGACATTTCTGACGCAAAATAATGCATTTAAAAGCTGAAACATGCCGCCATCAGCTGCTGTCAGTGTTGATGAGACTGATCAATAAATCGGTATCCTCCAGTAAAACTCGAGTGTAGCGATTTAATTTGTTGAAATGGTTTAAATGTCATAGGTGGGTCTTACCTGGGCAGGTAAGTCTCGGGTGGGTCTGTCAATGAAGTCTTGCAGGTGAGCTCTGCCTCAGCTGTGCTCGGTGAATGCAGCATCACCATCTTCACAGCACAGGTTTTATTCGCGCTCGCGGGACTGCTGGCATTGTCCATAAAAGGTAAGGTTCTGTCAGCTGAGCCTCTCATTGGTCCAGGTGAGCAGGATCCCTCACATTCTCTCAGCTCGCGCCCTGATGGGCTGCAGCAACTATCTGTCAAGGGGTGGGGGGCACGCGGGGCAGAGACCTGCAGAAAAGAGCCTGCGGGGTTTCAATCGAAAGCAAGGAGCTCGAGGGTTGTGATTGGCCAGTCAGACCGGAAAGTAGAGCACAGATTGAAAAGCTTCTGCGGAGGAAAAGGCAGAATAAAAATATTTATTCTGAACAATGAATACAAGTCATATCATTTTCTTTCTGCTGCGTGTTGAAGTTTTAGTCTTTTCTTCTCTGGCTGATTAAAACACTTCTGCTTTGTTTCAGTGTAAAATGAGATGGATTAGTTTAGTTCAGGATGACAGACAGTTCAGGTTATGTAAAGCAGTTTCTCCCTCTTTGATTGCTTTACATTGAAGTTAGACCTGTAAATCAGACTGTATGTGCTACATTAACACACACTGAATAATTGTTATTTGTCATTTTGCACATCTTACTGTTACATATAAAAATAGCATTCTCTAATGTTTGTATTTTTTGATTTGATTTTGTCTTATTTTAGTGTTTACGTGTTGTTTACTCGTTTTATTCAAGTTCGGTGTTCATTGTTTTTTTGCTCAAAGTCCTCTAACCTACACTGGGAATAAACCATAATGGACAAAGCCTGAGTGATGTCACCAGTGGTGTAGTGCCGGGTATACACATGTATACTTATTTTTCAGTCTTCACAGGGTATACCCATTTCTAAATCTCCTCAGATTCACACCATTAACTGATGACTGATAATATTCAGGAGTATGCTGCAATTCTTTTCCTAAGACGGAGAAGGGATGACCCTCCTTTCTCTGTCCAACTGGATACACACTGACATGTCACTGTTAACACCAGAGGCTGTTTATCCTCTGCTGGACGGGACACTTCAAAAAAATATTCGGGGTATGAACTTCTTCAGGTACTACTACACCACTGGACGTCACCCGTCTGTTACTGTCAGATTACATTAACGCCTACTGGACTTGAGCATTTATTGTTTGCACTGTTGTGTAACTTTATACTTGAATGCAGTGGTTCTCAACTAGTGGGTCGAGGAGCCATTTTCAGTGGATCAAAAAGTGTCATAAAGTCTATGAAGCACCTCTCAAACGTTTTGTTTTGATCCATTTCTTTGTCCCTTCATATGTTTTTTTGTACCATCTCAGGTCCAAACTGCCTGACTCTTCATAAAATAAATCTCCATCCATCCATTTTCCTTTGCTTGTCTGAGGTCGGGTCGTGGTGGCAACAGGTGAACTAAGTCAACCCAGACTTCCCTCTCCCCAGCAAACATCTGCTCTTGGGTGATTCCGAGGCGTTCCCAGGCCAGACGGGGTCTATAATCCCTCCAGCGTGCTCTGGGTCCACCCTCGGGCTCTCCTTCCAGTTGGGTGTGCGTGGAAAATCTCCAAAGGGAGACATCTGGGAGGCACCCCCAATTAAAAGCCCAAACCACCTTAAACCATTAAAGAATCTTTGAGAGAAGATGTGTGCATTAAAGCAACACGGCGAGCTACTTGACACATAAGGGAAACTGTTTGGTCGCTTTGAACACGTCATGACGCCCCATGAGGCTCTGCAGAGCAGCCACCAGACGGATCTGCTTGTCCTTACACGTCATTCAGGGCCAGATGAACCTGATGGCCCCAGAGGCACCTGGCATTGTCCTGTTGGTCAGCGTTAAACTGCCCACTGTGCATTCAGATATTTATGATTGGAAATAATTCTACATGACGTCTCAGCTCAGGAGAAATACAAGTACTCTGGTCTATCCAAGTATAAATTGGTTTTAACATATATTTCCTGAAAGTATCAGTCAATCTTTATTTGTGTAGTGCCAATTTATAACAAAAGTTATCTGCAGACACTTTACAAAAACAGCAGGATAAAGACCCTACTCTTTGTTTTTTATCAAGTTTATTCGTCCATTTGAGTCTCATTGTCATCAGTCAAGAAGCGACATGAAATGTGCAACAAAGCTGCAGCCAGACCATAAACTGTAAACATTAATGAACGAAGCCTGAGTGACGTCAGTCTTCTGTTCCTGCAGGCGGCTCCGAAGGCTCATCAGCAGCAGCCACCATGCTGGAAATCCTGTCTCAGACTAATTTTCAGTCAACCTAACGACAGGCCTGAGAGCTGGAGCTGAGGCGGGTTTTAAGCTTCTTGATGAAGCGTTACACCGCTCCCACCTGTCAATCATGTCAGCTACGCGCCTAACTATGGATAACACTTATCGTTCATAAAATCAAAACGGAGCCATTTTTAAAAAATCACCCCCCGTACAGTGTGTGCCAGTGATGACAACAACTAATCAGACCTGTTTCATTTTTTTAACCAGGCAGTAAAAATGTTTATTTATGCTGTAAAAACGTCTTTTTTGCTTGTTGTGTGTGTGTGACTTCTGGTGTTCCTGGAGCCAGCCTCTAGTGGACACTTCATGAACTGCAGGATTTTTCACTTCAGCATTGGCTTCATTTTTTAATACCAGAGGTTGCAGCTAGAGCCAGATTCAAACTTCATGGACCTGGCCTTAAAAAACAGACCAACTGATAATAACAATAATAAACTTTATTTACATCGCAATTTTAGAAAGTTTTAAAAAAGAAAATCAACGCTTCATTTGCAATATCTAAAATCACTTTAAGTTTCGAGCCCGATGAGAATCTTTACAGTGCAACAAAACATTTTCTTTTTTAAAAGCATCTTTCATTTTTTTCTCTGAGTTCCACATTTAAATATTTTGCCGTCTGTAAACTACAGTCATGTATCTGAATCCAATTTAAAACTCTGATTTCATTAATTTATTTTCATGAATGGAGGAACAGGTTCCTTTAAAGCATTCGATTCGTCAGGTGCTTCAGTCCACTCAAGGTGAAATGATCTGAAACTAAAACAACAAACAGGTTGAAAACAGGTACTGAAGTGTGATTGTGTTTTGGGGTTTTGTTTTCCAGCTGCAGGTAAATCCAAAAAATCAAGACAAACAAAATGAGTTTACATCTGCACAGTTCGTCTCATTACAATATCAACTCCCTTTTGTTTCTTTCTCCGCTTGGTTGAAACTTCGTTAGCATGCTTCGTTAGCATCTTTGTACACCTCTCTTCCTAATTCTCAGCTTGTTTGTCATTTAAAAAATCTTTAAAGCCTCCACAAAACAAAGTGAAATTATTAGAGAACAATTTTAATCACTCTAAATCCACAAAGAAAACAACAAAGTACATTTGTATTAAAACATGAGCCTGATCTTAAAGAAATATGCTGCAGAATGAAGCACAGTACAGAGTTAAAATTGATATTTTGATGTAGACTTATATGCCGTTAACAGAGTCCTGGTACAGATTTTATTTTTAAGATGTTTTAGTCGAGATTCTGATTATTTCTGGCCATCAGTCCAGTTATGACAAAAAGCGGGTTGGGGAGCAGTAGCTTTTTCAGCGAGCCTCAGCCTCAGATTTGTATTTATTTATTTTAAATAAACATCAAGTTTATACTGAAAATAATTTAAATTATATTTGAGAGTGTTGGAGGTAAATCAGGTTAATGCAGTGGTGATTCTAGGGTCTTCTAGGGTCCATTCTTGGGACTCCTCTGACCAACATTCATCACTATCATGTCTGCCAGTGTCCCGACGCTTACTCCTCTTCCTCTTTCTTCTTGTTTCTTTTTTCTCTCCTGTAGATAATTCCTCTTCATTTTTATTTGTTGACCTTATTTGGCAAACTTTGGTTTTCACAGCAATCATGCATGTTAGTAAGGCAACATGAGTGAGTGCAGTTTCCTACTGTCATTGCGAAATTTGCACATTTTGGGCAACTGCTTTTGGGCAACTCCAAACTTCAGAAAAGCTTAATTTTAAAGCCGTTTTCACTCATGCACTGCACTCCTAAATATTTCCTGACCTTTTCCACGTGGTGATAAAGAATGAATTTCTTTCTGCCAGCCTTCTGGTAAGACATCTGTGTGAAGTTAGGATGGTGATGATGTGTGACGCAACAGGTAATAGTAGGAAATGAAGTCGTTCACATTTAGTGGGGATTCTTTATACTCGTAATTGCTCGCCTCTGTTGTCTGTGTCACAAGTTTTCTTGGGGAAACATCTTGTCTCATGTGTTGGAGTGATATTAACTCAATCTCCTGCTGTGAGATAAAAGTTAGGAAGGCAATTTCTGAAAATATGACAACCTTGATGTCCTAAAGCAGCCTGGAGAATGTGAGGAGGTCATGTACGAAAGGACTCGTCACTCTCCACATTCATACTTTACAGCTCCAGGAAGGAACTTCAGGTTTGTGTCAATTTTGGCGCCCTCTGTGGACATGTGCTGCCTTGTGTTTTTGCTGATTCTGGCCTGAACATGCACAGGTCATGTTTCTTTCACAGCTCAGGCAAACCCTGCAACTTCTTAGGACTCCAACTACTGGCCGAAATCTCATAACTTTTTCTGTTTTCTGACTCTAAATTATCAGCCTCTTTTACCTTTAGTTTTCTGCCACCTCCTTCTCTTCATGATTCCCTCTCCCCTCAGCTGCTCTCATGTTCTTTTCTACTTTTTTTTTATCTCCTTCTTAAACTTCTTTCTATTTCTTCTCTCGTCTTATTTTCTTTGAACAGTTTCTCTTTTACTGCTCACATTGTCCCGGACAAATTGTTCACTTTTAATGGTGTTTTCAATTTCTATTTTCAAATCTTTTTTGCACCACAGTTGCAGCTCTACTTGTGCTCCCACACAATGGTTGTGCATGGCTTTATGTTGCAGAGTTGTTCCTGTCGTAGCGTCCGCACCCTGAACCTGCACAGACACGTCCACTTACAGCCACTCGAGCGCTCCTCTTGCACTACATTATGTTCACATAAAGCAGTAAACATGCTCTTCTT